GAATCGGTTGTTCGAATTGTCTCCCTTTTACCCCACAAACGTCGCTTATTATTATCAAAAAAAGAGTGATGCTGATACTAACAGTAGTAGACAAGAGGGGAAAGAGTTTTAAATTCTCTATGTAGTCTTTGTGGAATCAGCCGTTACTGGAAATACATGCAAGGGTGTCACTATTTGTCATCACCTGCTTTTAACAAGTTGATTTCTGATTCCTCCAGAAACTGCCTCTATTGTATCCTGTTCTTMAGGAAAACCAGCTTTCAGAGCTATGCTGCTTTTTCTTAATGTCATCTCTACAAGGAATTATTCTGGAATAGGAGGAGTTACTCTCACTCTGAAGAAAAATACCTCATTAAACCCATCCAGTATAAGGTTTCTACTGCAGAAACAAATCTATATAAGGTGTTAGAGGAAGGCTTTTCTTCCCTTTTAATTGAAATTTAATTTCTTATCTATATCTCCTAAAGTATTGTGGTGAAATGCTATTAGTATTTCATTTCAATAATTGYATCAAAACAGGTATCCTATATGTAGCAGGTATCTTACCTGTTCTTGCTTTATGTGATTTCTTTCATGATAGATCCCCTTGAGAAAATGGCAGTTTGACATCTGTAAGAAAAAGAGCCTGTGTGTTGTCTTATTAGCACATGTGCTAAGTTGTATGATGTTTGAAATGCAGTAGTCCCCTCTAGAACAGAGTGGTCCTCATCAATATGTACAAATACCTGAGGGGAGAATGCAGGGAGGAAGGGGTCAAGCTCTTCTCAGTGGTGGCCAGTGAYAGGACAAGGGGCARTGGGTGTTAAGTTGCAAYACAGGCAGTTCCATCTCCATGTGAGGAAGAACTTCTTCCCTGTGAGGGTGCYAGAGCCCTGGCACAGGCTGCCCAGGGAGGCTGTGGAGTCTCCTTCTGTGGAGATCTTCCAAACCCGTCTGGATGCCGCCCTGTGCCCCGTGCTCTGGGTGTCCCTGCTGGAGCAGGGGGKKGGACTGGATGATCTCTAGAGGYCCCTTCCAACCTCAACCMTTCTGTGATTCTGTAAAAAAGTAGTGAAAAAATATTACTGAAGCATTTCAAACTCCGAGCTTTACATTTAACYGAGCTGTAGAAATTGTGATGTACTACCTATTTCTGTTCCTTTCAGTGTTTGGTTGTTAGGTTATTTTGGGGGGGCTTTTTTGAATCAACATTTTTGGGTGTTTCACAGAATCTGAGAGCTTGCAATATTCAGAAGAACTTCCATATTCCTTGGACTTGAGATTATGTAAAGGTGTYTTCTTAATAGGAGTTTTTCATATGCTGTATGGCTTGTTTTTGTTTTTTATTTTTAAGGCAGTGAAAAGTTGTGGGCTGGAATGCAAATGTGAAGTGCATAGTGGTTAAAGTAACAGCAGTTTAATAGGAAACGTTGTCTCTTCTCTATAATAATGTATTCTGTAATCACAAAATTAACAGGAAGGAGTTAATAATGGTTCTCTAATGATAGATGGCACCTGGACGTTCACAAAGTGCTGGCACTAAATATTTTTAGACCCGTACCAGAATATTATATAAGGGAAAAATTCTCATACTGAAAAAGCATTTTATAAAGCATCATGGAGTCTGTACTTTTAAAAAGGAGAAAAATGGGAAAGCTTTCATGAAGCAGATTCTTGTAATGTCAAAATGATAAAGCAGCACTGAAAGCAACTTGGAAGGCAACTCTCTGCCTCCTTTAATTTGTGGCTCTGCTCTACAAAGGAACTTTGTAAAAACGGACTTTGACATATGCTGTATGAATGATACCTAGCTGAAATGCCTGTTAAAAAGGCAAGATAATTTGGGGAACACCTTTTGAGTTCAAAGGCAGAGATTTGTATACTTYGTTGTTGTTACTGTTTCTGTGTGGCGCCATGTGTTTGATTCACAGCCTTGGAAGTAATTGARTTACTCACATAGTTCTGTGTTTGTGAAATGTTTTGTTTGACAAATAAGATGTAAGAAAAAAAAGAAAAGATGTAAGGTGCTATATTTTTCTTTTTTTTTATTTTTCAAGAGAGCTGTTGATGCTTTGGAGCTTAGAATTAACTTCTATTAAGATAATATTTTTAATTGGAATTCTTAGTTATGAATGAAAAGAAATGCATGAAATATTTTTTAAGTAAGAAATCATGTAAAGAATATAATTTATTTAACATAGAAGTGCTTTAGGCAGCAGATATAGTACAGTTTATATAGTATACTATATATAGTGTATAGATAGTATAGTTCAGTTTCTACTCTTTCRCTTATTTTTAACTCCTTCATTGATATTTAGTAGCAAAAGACAGATATCAGTAAACATAACTTAGTTCATTCTCTGTTATTTATTTTCTCCCAGACTGTTRTATCAGCAAAAATAGGTTATACGAATATATTCAGTTGTGTGGTTTTAAAAATATTGCTGCTGTTTTAATGCTGATGATCTTTGTTTAGAAAACAAGACAGTTCCCGCAAGTAAACATGATGCATAACTGCTTTTTAGGTCTTCCATAAATTACTGTCTGCTTTTAAACTCTACCTTTGTTGTAAAATTAAATTAAATGATCAACTGATAAATTGAATGTAATACCTTTTTATATAAGCTTTCTGTTAATGGAGTGCATTGTGCAGCATTGTCTTACATGTTCCTACTTCKTTAAATCCTCATCATTTCAGCTGCCTTGTCTGGCAGAGCAAGTGCTCTATAAAGACACTTGCAAATTGTACAACTCCAAAAGAACTGCTTATAGAAAATCTTGAATTTGTTGCAGCAGTCAGAATTAACTTGGTTGAAAAGAAGTATTTAATCTGGAATGGCAAAACTTGTGTGTTTTGGGCATACAGGTTGCCATATGTGTGTACTGTGCATTTATGGCCCTTTTATTGTTGTCCAAAAAATAATTCTCCCATTTCAGAGAAGAGCAGAAGGAAAACAAAGGGGGGAATCCAAGAATGACAATGCCAGAACTTTCAGAATTTCCTCAGCTTGTTTTCTGTTTTCAAGCTGAGGAAAGTAAGTTACATCCTTAAGTAGGATGTAACTTACATCCTACTTAAACTTTAAGGTGAAGTATTTTAACAATTAATTCATTTGCAAATGCATGTGTATTTGAAATATGACTTCAAGAATTACCATTTGCTCTGACCCTTAGTGGATTAACAACCCCATGTGTGGTGCGTAGTGCGTGCAGGGAGAAGTTGTAGTGATTTCTGTGAGCTACTGGTGTTCAAAGTAGGCCTGCATTTAAGCCATTTTGCTGCGCTGAATCTCAGCTGAAATTATTAATCAATATGGAAATGGCTTTATGTGGTTAAAGAAAGACTGTATTTTCACTGGTACCTTTTGTCAATTATTTTAGCCTGTCACAGAGCAGGAATATGGTGTTTCAGATGGAGAGTAGTAAATTACAACATAGCTGTGGGTTAATACTAAACAATTTTTGCAGTCTCATCCATTGTGCTTTCTGCATTTCAACATGTGACTGTCTAGTGTAATTGAATGGAGATCATGCAAGGAACGTGCATGAATTGCTTTTGAGAACTGTGCATTTCAGGAGGAGGAGAATTTGTAAGTGGCTTTCCTAGATAAATAAATACATAATGTTCTCCAGAACTGCGGAGAATGAAAGGAAGTAATCAGCCTGGTTGTACCAGCTGATTTGGTGAAAGGATGACATAAAATACTTTATCCAAAGCAGCTCTGACACTGAACAAAAATTAATTATAATGCTTAGTTTGCACTTTTCTTGGCTAACAGAGAGAAAAGTTGTACTGTGTTTTGAAGAATCGTTTTGTTCTCAGATCAGCATGAAACCAGGGAAGGTTTCCTTTTGTTTATCTGTGTTTTATATTCTGGAAGTTTTGTGTTTTGTTTTTCAAACAAAAGTGCAGTATCGTAGTAAATGAAAACGCTGTGAAATTAAAAAAAAAAAAAAAGGAAAAAAAAAGCTCTAATTACACAACCTAGATATTATTAATTATTTTTATTTTATTTTTCTCCTTGTATTCCCAGGTTCCGTGTGGTTGCCCATAATGTAATTATCCAGATAATTCTTATTTTTCTCTCTTCTGATTGTTTTTGTTCCTGCCCTTACTGTTTGTAACAGTGCTGACACTGCCGCCTTGTTCTTGATTGCACCTTACGTCACTTTGAGTATCTCTTCCTTCTCTCCTGTTGTGTTGTGGCCACTTTTGACTTTCACTTGAAAATCTTTCCTTTTTCTTTTCTCCTTGCTCTTGTAATCTGTAACATCAGAAAAGCTTTAGGCATTTTTTCTTTTGGTGACGTTATTTGTTACTTTCTTGTGTTCATTTTATTATAAAACCTGATTAGTATGGACTTACTTAACTGCTTAACACCTTTATGTCAGCTTTAATCTGAATTTTGTACTGGTACCTGTCTGCACAGATCGCTCTGTAGGCTTGAGGTATAATGTAGAGTTAGAACAACACGTTAGAATTACCAGGTCTCCCAAATTAGAAACTAACAGTGTCTTCAATTTTTTTTTTAATTATTTTTTGAAGATTGGGATTTTTTGGTTACACTTTCAAGAAACAGTATGTGCTGAATGCAAACTCTGTATAACCCAGTACACAGTTGCACCCAAGGAGTTACGATTTGCCTGSTGTTTGAGTGGATTATCTTTTGCATTCAGAATTTTGATAGGCGTATTCCAGCAAAACTGTAAGCATATTAGAAGGATGTGTTATTTCCACAATTATTTTTGAAGATCAGCTGAACTTTACTGTAGTAGGTAGAATGTAAACCAGTATTTTATTTTCACATTGTGGACAGCTTTTTGTGCTTTTCTTGATTGATTTAAGAACACACTCRAAATAAAATAACTGGTTTCACTGTTGAGTTTTCTAAGCAGAGAAAATACTATGGATAATSTAATATGTACTAATACATATACATATATTGTAATATGTATATGTAATAATAATAAACTCATGGTAAAGTTGCTTTTTGTTTTCTTTTTTCCCTAATATAATAGAAATCAAAGGCAGAAGAGAAAATCAAGTCTGGTATTTGAAAATATCAAAGCTGGCATTGGCTTTTGCAATTATCCATTCAAAACCACCAGGCAAGAGCTGCAAAGAGTATGCTGAGCATCTTGCCAAAATTGTATCTGAACAAGATACGAGTATTGCCTCTGGAAGTCTCTGGAAGTCAAAAGTTGAAGCACTGGAAGCTGAAGTTCTTCGATTGCGTCAGGAACTTCTTTTGAACAAGATCTGTCCAAAATTTGGCTTGGAAAACAGTAAGTTTCTGAAATTGTTTCTCARTATGTTTCAATAGCAAGGACTTGCGTGTATGGTGTTATATTTTTCAAAATAACAAACCCAAAGCTAAGTAGTGAGACGCTTAGTGCAGTCATGAGTTAGCTTGAGAATTTGATGCTTACTCGGAAGTTATGCTTCCATTACAAATATACTTAAGAGAAAATGGTGCTTATGGAATAATTCCAGACCAAAACTGGGAGTACGAAATATTACTCTCTAACCTCGGTGTTAGTAGTTGGTAGGAGTAATGAGGCACCCTATRTAAAACTGGAATGTGTCAGAGACCATCCTACTTTTCTTTTTCTTTCTTTACTACATTGAACATGTTTAAAAGCAAAATTTAAGGTTTATAACTATTCATGCTTTTAACTTAACATTATATGACAGGGAAAAGTGGACAAGGTAAAGGATTTTATTTGCTGTTTCTGTTAACGTGGATCCTATGAATGTTTATTATGTAATTATGTAACATACATAATGTTTACATACATACATAAAMATAATGTTTATTATGTTTATTATTATTATTATAGTCCCGACCAGGAAAGCTATTTAGGAATGTGTTGGCTTTAGAACATGAAACTCAAAGGTTTTGGTGAGGGGAAAGTAGCTTGCAACATTTGCATCTAGTGTCTCAAAGCTCAGTTGCAGAAGATGAGTCGTCTAAGAGCAAATCTTTTTTTTTTCAAGTCCCTGTGTAATAATCTAGGTAAAAGAAAGATAAGTTACAAAATCACAGTGTGAGAGTTAGTCTCAAGGTCTCACTTACTTCTCCAAAACAGTTTGTTATTCTTGAGAGATCTTTATTTAAGCTCCATAAAGATTCCAGGCACTTTGCTTTAGCACTTCCATGTTAGAGGAGAGATTTCTGCCTTCCTCCCCTTGCCTCCAATGTCTGACCTGACTAAGCTTTATTACTACACTTTAAGTTCTTGGTTACTGGTGCTGTTCTCTTCCTCTTTCTCTGACAGACTTTAATGTATTTGAGGACTGATTATTAGATCTTCACTTCTGTTTTCCTTTTAATCTTCACAATTCCAGTTTTTTTAGTCCCTTACTTGGAGATCATGCTTCTGCATCTCTGCAGATGAGATGCACATTTGATGATCCTTTGGTCTCTTCTGAAGCTGGTCCACGTCTTTTCAGAAGTATAACTTGCTCCTCATACCTAGACACCACGTTGAACAGGGGTTTTCTTACCACTGCTAAGTAGATCAAAAGGATTACTTTATGTTTTGTTGTCTCTTTGTACATCCCAGCGTGATGGTTTGTATTCATCTTCCTTCAGAAGGTTCTTTTCTGCAGAAACCTTATCTAGGTTTTTCCTATTCTGAATTTGTGAAGTTGCTTTTTCTTTCCTAAATGGAATAAACATGCAACTTTTTAAAATTATATCTTCAATTTGACAAGGTCATCTTGAAATCTAAGTTATCTTCCTTGAAGTAGTAGTCCCCTTAGTCTGACATGCTCTTTAAAGTAAGTGAACATACCTATCTATTTTGATGCACAAGCTAAATTATACCAAACTTGAGATCGTGGAAACCTGCTTAGCACATTATTTCAGCTTGATAATGAATCATTGACTTAAGCCTGCCATTATCATTCTGATAATTACTTTCAGAATATAATTTTGTACTCATTCTACAAACAGCTTCAGGTCTATTAGGCTTCCTCTCATTTGTATATGAGAATGCCATATGAAACCCATGGTGTGACACTATTTTTTGATTATTTTTTTTTCATCTGGTCACAAGATTGCTATCTTGTCAAAACATATCTAGCCAGTCTGATTGCTTTTATGTTATTGAAAAATCTGTGTCAGCTTTTACTCCTCTCTTTTCTTTCTTTAGTGTCCTTATGTATAGATAGCTTGGCTATTTGTTCCAAGAATTCAACTTAAGCTGACTGCTCTGTGGTTTTCATTTTTGAGATGAATGTTTTATTTGCCCTTTTTCAGATCTTTACCTCACCCATTTTTTCTGAATTACAAAGGTTAACCTCTTTTCATTGCAAATTTCTTTCAGTTTCTTTGACTATGGCAAAGTGATTGTCATACTACCTAGTTAAGTTATTAAAATATCTGACTTGCCTAAGTACTGTCTCTAAAGCTCTGCCTGAACCAGAGAGGGAATTCTGCCTCACATGAATTAATATTGATAGTCTAACTACCTGATTTCAGTTGATTTTTTTTCTGCTGAAGTTACCACAAAAAAAGAGAAAAGTGGTAAATCTTAACAAATAACAGCTGTCAGTAGTTTTCCTGCTATCTTGCATACCAGCCTAGGCATACTGCACACCAACCAGTCTGTCTTAAAATATTTTGTTTTTTACCGATTAGAATTACTTTCTTATAATGAAGAAACCTTTTTGTTTTGCTAAAACAAATTCTGATGTTTTTTCACCTTAAGCCTTTATAAGTTCAGGATTGGAATCGGTTTAAAAAGTATATAGGAAAGGAAACACCCCTTTAAGTTACCAGCTTATTTCTGTGTCTTGATCAGACAGAATGGGCCCTCTTGTTCTTTTTCCTGAGAGATCAGGGACACAGGATGACGTTGGAAATCAGGCCGTGGACTCTCGCTTTGGGTTCTGGGGAGACATCCCCTGGGAGATCACAAACTCTCTGAGGTGGAGAATACTGTTCACACTTGAAGATAAATCCAAAATCCAAATACCTGTCTAGGAGCTCTCTAACTTGCGATTGTTAGCCCTGGGATCGGAAAACTTCATGAGGCTTTTATACTGCAGCAGTAGTTGCCTTTGAAAAAGATKCTAGATTTTAATCTTTTTGACTTGAGAAGGTGTGTTAGACTATTAGGTAGAAGTTTTAATGATTTTTTCTTTTATACATATAGCAAAAGTTGCTCTAGAGGAGAAGGCTAGGAAGGAGGCTGTCATGAGTCCTATTTAATTATTGCTTGTTTGTGTGTTCTGGCAGTTACTCAGCTTGTACTCTGTCAGAAGACTAGAAATGAAATTGGTTCATCTCCAACTTCTGCATTCCAAATCTAATATTTTGTAGATTCTTTGTCTCATGCTGTTGAGCTGAATGGTACTGATATTTGTCAAACAAGGAGTGAGATGTTTTCCATGTGAGGCAGGCAGAGAACATGACAAATAACATATCCTGCAATGGAACTGGAATTGCAATATTAATTCTTATTGACCTAGTCATAGATGATTTGATTAGTAGATCTAAAATGAGATAAATCTCATCTAATTTTAGATGTCTGCAGATACGCTAAATTGCCCATGAGCTCTTTGTTATCTGTTAAGTAACAAGCTTATGGTAAAGTTCACTTGACCCAATTGTGATAGCCATTGATAGGAATTAAACTGCCCTCAGAAGATGTCTGTCTACACTATTGAGAYTGATTGGCTTAGATAGTCCCATGATCCTTAATAATACCAATTAAGTAAACTATGCTCCTTTTCATATATAAACTTACTATTTTTATAGTCTTAGCAGCCTGTTCAAACATGGATTGAGTAGCTGACCAAGCCTCATTATTCCCATGAAATCAAACATTGGTTTCAGCTAACTAGTGAAATCACAGAGTAGGAAAGATTTGTTTTATCTATACTGTATTTCAGTTCTCTTAGGGTCCTAATGCTCTGTTAATTTAAAAGACCAAAGTGTAGATGCATTTTCCTTAAAATATTTGCTTTTAATGTATGATTATGCTTATTAAACTTTTAACTAGAAATATTTGATGTTAAAATATTTGAGAGAGATTATGTTCTTTCCTCCTACATCATATGCTRCCCACAACTGGTAGGACATTTTATTTCACTTCAGTTTCTTTTAACCACTTGAGAGGGAGCAAAAAGGTCTGAAAATCTGGCTTGTATCRGTCTGTTTCTTTATTGAGGAAAATCCCTTTCTAGCTCTGGAAATTTAACTTTGAGGCTGCTGCTTTTGGTTGCTATTCGTCTTACTGTCTTTTTTTTTTCCCTCTAAACCAGCTTTTTTCTTCCTCAAAGCCTTGGATTGGCATGTAGTTTCCTTGGACAGTGAAGTTAAACAATGTGCTATTTCGCGAGGAAAATACTCTTCATCAGGCAGATGTAACTGCAGATGTGGTTCCTGCTTCCATTTGCTTTGGGAGACGTTCTYAGCCTGTTGTCTTTGAGTGAAGAACGATCGTTACTGACATTTGATGAGATATTTGTAGATGAGATCTTTGCACTTCTATGTGGATCCTGCTGGCAGTGTTCAGAGCGCCTGAGGTTGCTGTTTTAAGGAAGAAAATGTTTGTAGACCAGAAGGCACCCAAAATGAGAGTGGCTCTAGCACCGGGAGAAGGTTCTTCCTCTCCTGTGAGGTTAGATATTAGCAGGTACCAGCTGCAGTGATAAGAAACACAGAGAGCTTGAAGCTAAGTTGAAGAGTAAAGCGATACAAGTAGTGGCCCATCRTTTTCCTCTGAAGGCTACTACAGATCTGTGTAAGCCATTGTTATGGCTGATTATTAAAAGCATAATGTTTGCATTAGCTACCTAATATCACAGCAGAGCAGTTGTCTTTAATGCCGAGGGTAGCTGTGGGCTTGTGCCAGGGGCCAGGTAATSTAGAGATACTGTGGATCTTTTTTCTCCTCCATTTTTTTCTCCAGGCTCAATTTTTCATTTGGCATTTTGCCTAAAAGAGAGCATCTTTTAGAACATTTCGACCCTTAGCTCTTGTTTGGCTCTCTTGTGTTTGATGCTTCTGTAAATGCAAGAACAGAAAAATCTCATGAAGGAATAAATCTGATGCATTAAGCATCAGATACTGCATATACATCTGTGCTGACTGTTTAGAGCTGAAGAGTTGGAGTCCTTCAACCAAGGTTCACTCAGCAGCTCTGTGTTTCTGTTCTGAATTCTGAATTTGGGAGCTTTTCTCTCCTGCCTGCTGTTAGTAATAATAATCGCAGGTCTTTCAGAGGCTTAAGTACTGATGAGAGTCTGCCCATTGGGATTTATATCTGTGATG